TGTTAAGGGTCCTTTCCTTTCATATTAAAACATAAGGTTTTTTTTTAAAAAGATCATTATTTTTATTGCTGTTTAAAAAAAAAAAAGGAAAAAAACCTCCCTCCTCAGTGCAGATCTGCAACTACTATGAATTAGTCTTGGAGAGTTGCCCAAGGCACTGAGAGTATGTGTCTGCCTGAGAACTGAAGTAGGTCTTGCTGACTCTGAGAGAGTCAGGCAATCTCTCCACTATACCTTACTGCTTCTCTTAAAATTTTTAAGAATGAAGAAACTAGCCTTCTCTTATACTCTTCATTGTTTCTTCTCCTTCCTCTTCCAGTATTGTCCCTTCCATTCCTGCCTTCCACATCCTGAGATTTGATATTCTGAGGAAGGTCTGTGGCAGAAAATTTGGATACTTATGGTGATTCACGATATAGCCTGACCTGGAAATATTTATAGTGTTTTCTTTGTTCTTGCTCTACTATTTTTCCCTCCCATCAGAACCGTTCTCAAAAGATGGAGGTCAGGAGCAGGGGGGAGGGGACTAAATATGATGTTGGGAGAGTAATGATCAACTAGTGGCAACTATCAGAACATTCCTTAAACTGCTGCCCGCTCACAGTGGATAGAATGCAGGGCCTGGGGGTCAGGAAGACTCATCTTCCTCAGTTTCTAATCTGGGCTCAGACACTTACCAGCTGTGTGTCCCTGGGCAAGACACTTAACTCTGTTTGCCTCATCTCATCTGTAAAGTGAGCTGGAGAAGGAAAGGTAAAACCACTCTATTATCTTTGATTTTGGCACAACTGAAAAATTATCAAAGAAAACAGAACAAAAAGAAAAATGCCACCCGTACAGACAGTAGTATCTGGGGAAGTAACTTTCAAAACTTCTGAAAAATGAAGAACTTTCTTGGCACTGTTAATTATAGGAGAAAACAAAAGAAAATAAAAGAAAATATGTATTAAATATGAACTACATGCAGTGATTTTAGTAGACCCTAGAGGAGGTACAAAGGAAAAAAATGACGAAGGGTTTCTAAATTTAGCAGGACAAAATAAGACATCTGGTTAAGTATACCAATAAATACTATGAGTGATATGCCTGTTAGACTATGAATAAGAGTTATCTCAATCAAATGAAGAACCACTTTCAGCTATGAAGCACAGCTTGGTAGAAGGAGAATTTAGTGTAATGACAACTCTAAAACTATATTTATAGATAATGAAGATGACTTAGAAATAAGATACTTCTAATTCTGCCATTTTTGCCCTGTGACCTTGGTTGAATCGCTTCCCCACTCATGGTCTGTATTTCACATGTAAAAGCAAGGAGGTAAACAAGATGATTTTTGAGGTCCTTTCCATTACCAGCTTTTAGATTCAGGATTGGAGAAAGTTTTATGCTAGCTTCTCATTGTTTAGGATTCATACCTGCAAGAGACTTTAAATTCCAACCACCTTATTTTATAAATCAGAAAACTGAACCTCAGTTAAATGGTTCGCCAAAAATTACAAAGGCAATCACTTACAGTTGACATGGAAACCCTTTTCTGAACATTTGAGAAGATTTCAACAGATTTGTAGTAAAAATGTTGCTTACAGCAACTGATTAATACCAATCGGATATGCAAAGTCATGCTTCTTTTCCCAGCAAAAGTAGACAGATATATTTTTTTGACTAATGTATTAGGAAAAAAAGAATTTAATTAAAAAAAGCTACAACACATTCAATATGCTTTACTGCACTTTACTGCATACTTTCCTTACAAAAATTTATGGGTTTAAATGACGCCTGTTGCCGTGATATGGAGGTGTTCTTAAAGGAAAATATTTAATGAGATTACTTTCCTGCTCCATAAAACAAAGATTGTGAAATACCAACATTTTTTCATTTACACCTAGGCACAGTGTCCTATTTTAAACAATTAGCTTTGGAAATAAAAGTGTGAATGCAATATTTTTTACGTTATGTATCCTGTAATAGAGCATTCAGTAACTATGCATTTATATTTTTTTCCTTCTCTTATGCAGTCTTCCTTTTCTCTGTTGATAGAAATGTTCTTTGATTGTATTTTGTATTGGAAGAAAGAGGAAGGCAAAAGCATTTCAATTCCAGTAGCTTAACTTTTCTTTTTGCCCCTGAAGACTGGCTGGTGGTTGTTTAGGTAACCATGGTAATGTGCAAGAGCAGCCACTGTATTCTGTATGCCTGAGGTTTTGCCAAAGTTAAGAGTAGTCTGGCCATGAATGCTCAATTCCAAGTCATAGGCAGACTGAGGTTTTGATAGGTCAGCCATGGAGAGAACAATAATTTCTTAACAACACTTCCGGGAATGTGCCTGCAGCCAATGAACAAGATAATATTGACTTATTTGAGACTTGTGTTCAGATTCTGCTAATGTAATCTTTCTGTGCACAGTGCTGCCATGAAAATTAGATGAGATAATGATTGCAATTCATTTTGTATACCAAAAAGATTAATAAGAATGCTAGTCATTATTATCATCACCTGTACGATCTTGAGACAAATCACTTCACCATTGTAGGCTTCATTTAGATCAGCTATAAAATGATAGGGTTGGACTAAATGACTTCTTTGATCCCTCAGCTCCTAATCCTGTGATGCTTTTTGTGTTCCCATCTTCCAGCTGACTCATGACTTTTCTGTGCCATAGGGACTAGCATTTGAATGTCTGCCAGAGTTGTCTACACAGTAAAGCACACATGTGATTCTTGGTTGTGAGTCATTATGAGAAATGATTGAGAGAAGCCTGTCCTTGTTCCAAGTATGTTAATGGTTCCTGGCACGTGTGGTAGGATGGCATTTGGCATTTGGTGATGGCAGCATCTCTAGATAAAAAAAACTTTACTTTGGCATGTGGGGGCTTCTAGTCTGTCAGATAAGTATTTATTGTACTGCAAACTGTAGACTTGTAATTTAGATAGACATGAATGGATTAAATATACAGCACCATTGACCTGGTTCTATTTTGTTAGTTTTTCTAATTAAGCCGGATGTTGTACAAAGTGAGACACCCTGTAAGAGTACTTAGGTTAGGGGGATGTATATTTTAGTAGTGTCCTTTCTACTTTCAGATGGTGTGCAGGGAAAGATTTTTTTGGAAAGTTAATCCCAATTGCTAATAATGATATGGCTGCTTGCAAGGCTATTATCGTCCTCCTGACCATTTAATTAACAAGCTAAACAGATCATTTTGTCCTTTGCTCTTCAGAAGCTCTTTAAATGAGGTTTGGATTACTGACTAAGAGCTGGTAGGGGTTCTGATTTCTGAATGGAAAAAAAAAGACAATACTTGGCACTGTATCTGGGAAAAAGACTAAGTTGTATCAACACAGTTGAAAAGTCATTACCTGTACCATCTCAAGGAAGTCAACCCATGGGAAGCTGATGCCTGTTAATCATTCAGTTGTTAAGGATATCTGGGGTGAAATGAAAATTAAAACACATTATCTTCAACTCATTCCAATAGGTATGCATCACATGCCTATTATATGCCAGCTGTTGTGTTAAGCACATCGGGGAAACAATATATACTTAGATGATGGACAGCCCTGAAATAAGGATCATATAAAATCTCTTAGCTCTGATAGGTGAGCTTTTGCTTTATCTTGCCTCCTTTATACAATATCTTCTGCTTTTAAGCCATCACCCTCATCTCTCTACCACTAGAACTCTGTCTCTGATTCTCCTAGCCTTACATTGTACAAAACCAGGCTTCCATCTTGTTACCATGGCACAGCCTTTATCTCCTCCATGTCACCCGTTTAAGTATTGTTTCCCCTCCAATAGAATGTGAATGTAAGCCTCTTGAGGGCAGAGATTGTATTGCTTGTTTGTTGTATTCCCAGCGCTTAGTTTCCTGGCATATAATGTTTAATAAATGTCCTCCATTTCACTCTATTCTCTTCACTCCTTCTCTCTCCTATTCCTCCCCAAATAATTTATTTGTTATATATTATATAATCTTGGAAGCAGGACTAGAAAAATGATGTTATTGATCCATAATTATACAGTGTAAACTCTTGTTTTTCATGGTACAATTTCAGGTGTGATAATTTCATTCCAATTCCTTATTTATGTGCTCCACCAGTGGGTTTGTCTTGTTGTCTTACAGAGAGAAGCAAAATCTCAATCATGGTTTGTCCCTTGGTGCCCAGTTGCCTTCAGAGACAGCCTAGATGTAGGTCTTTCCATGAGCCAGGTTAAATTAGGGATAAGGTCTCTGGAGCTGGTACAGACAGAAATATCAGTGTGCCTTACACATACAATTAAATGCTTCCTTTGTGACTCTTACCTTATTATTGTAAATTATCATATACTCTTTCTTTTTTGTGTTCCTGAAAAGAGGTAATGTTTAATGACCCCAGAATTTTCCAATCAATTGCCTTTGTTGTGTATTGGGGGACATATGGAGGGGAAGGGGGAAGGTCACCTTTTTGCCTTCTCTAGGCTGAGCCCTTAGTCCATGGAAACAGCATTTTGCAGAGACTTAATTTCTTCTTTCTTTGTCCAGCTTTCTCTGATTTTTCCAATAACTTCTTTAGCATTGTGTGTGTGTGTGCCTGGGTAGATGCACATTTGCACACGCAAAATTAATTCTGTATTAATGAGAGAACAAAGCATTTAGTACTGTCTGTATTCCATTCTGTTTCCAACCAGGATCCTAGTGCTATCTTCTGTGGTACCCAGGGACTCAGACCCACTTTGCATTATCTACAAGAGCCCCTCTTCTCCCTTATTTTTTCTTTGTTAATTTTAAAGAGACTCTGAGAAGGTAACATTCACTGGATTTTAGACAGCATATCTATGAGGGTAGGCATTTATGGCATTTTATTCATCTGTAACAGCTCTGTACTTTGCAATCAAGAGAAAGAAATAGGGTGCCCTGACCCTAAGGTTTTCAAGGAGATTAAATACTGTTTTATGTTTTATTGTGTGTTAAATTTTTATTTTATTCTAATTTTTATGTTTCTTTGTTGTTTTCTACCTTTTAGGAAACACCACCTAGTCCCTTCACCAGCCTTGAGACACAGGTCAGTTCCTTTTTATGCGTATTGCCTTGACTCAGTCCTTACCTCTGTGTTTACCACAAGGGTTATGTGTCTGGCAGTCAGGGGCTAAGAGTGTGCGATCTCTGAAGTCCCTAACTTGATGATACTGTGATCCTACCCTAAAACCCTAAACCTGCTGTGGGGCTCTCCAAGATTATCTGATCTTACTAGAAGTTAATTTAAAAGCCTGTGTTTTTTTTTTCTGGAACAAGAATGGATCCTTTTGATTTTGTGGATCGGAGGAACCCCAGGAGAAATCTGCACCTCTTGGAATTTTTTGACTCTTAAGCATCAAGGGAGTGTAGATGTTTTAAGGATTGAGCAGAATGGGGAGAAAAGGACTATTTCTTACTAGCTTTACCCTTTCTCCAAACATATGCTTGAAAATGGAATAGTGGTAGAAATGAAGAAGAGAGGTAGAAATGAAGAAGAGAGGAGATGTTTGCATGGCTTAAAAATAGACAGCTTATCCCTGGATTTCTTGCTAACCATAATTAAGACTCAACATAGAAAGGGAATTTTCTAGTGGAGAATGACTCCAATGAACTTATTTTTGAGGCTACATAGGAACTTTCTATATTTTCCAATATCTTTCTCTTTATTGGTTACCATTCCTTCTCCCTGAGTTTGATGGGAAAGATCCCTTGCTTTTCTTTCAAGCTGTAGTCCATCCAATTCCAGATCACTTTGGTTTCAGAGTAATGTGTATGTGTCTCTTTATAGATGCCGTTGTAATTTGGACTTCTGCTTTTTCCCATCCCAAACACCATCAGAACACCAGGTCTTTTCCCTTTGTATGCTGCCCCCTGACTGTTTAGTCTCTGCACCCCACCCAGTATCAATTACATAGGTCATTATCTCTACTTGGTTAATCTGTCCCCATGCAGCTGTTCTGAGTTGTGGGGGAGATAGATTGATCAGTTGCTGAGTCTGTCTCTAATGTTCTGTGTCATTAGGATTGGGTAGTTTTGCATCTGGCAACATCAGCAGGACACTGCTAAACTGCCAGATTAATGGGATGAAGAAGCTGGGTATTAGTTCTCAAACCTTTGAAGTTTTTAACTCAACAGGCTACACCTTTGGGAAGTAATGTGCAGGAAGGTGCTGACTTTTAGCCTAGAATCTTCTCTCTGCCTTCAGAAAGCAGTTCCCTAGATAGTCTCCTGGTAGGAGTATTGCTGTAAATGTGTTTGTTAAGGGAAATGCCTGTTGGAAGTTTGATTCATATGATGAGGGGAAGGACCTTATATGTCATCTCTGCTGAACTTCATTTTCCAGATAAGGAAACTGAGGACCTGGAATGTTAAATGAGAGATTTGATCCTAGGCCCTTTCTTCTGAGAGTTCTTTAACTTTGTGACTATGTTTTTCCAGTGATTTATTCATGTCAAACTCCTCATGAACCTGTGGATCATACTGTCATTGATGTTTTCTTGGCAAACATTCTGGAATGGTCTCCCATTTTTCTTTTCCAGTAAATTAAAGCAAACAGTACATAATGAGGCCCGATTTGAGTTCCTCTTTAAATCCAGACTCAATACTTTACCCACTGAGTCTCCTATCTTCTGTCCTGCTACTATGCCATCCAGTATCTGCAGTCTACCGTAATCCTAAAAATTTGTACTAAAAATAGTTTTTGGTCATTCAAATTTTGTTTTTATAAAATAAGCTTTTTTTTCCTTTTTATAATGGTTTGAACCTGTGATTTAATCAGTGGAAAGAACTCCCAATGTGGAAATTCCCTTCACCAATGCAGATTGACAGTAACTTCTAGTCTAGTCTAGCAGCATACCTGAGTGTTGCCTGAACCAGATTAAAAGGTAATTGGGAAATATTTAACAGTAAAATCCAACATTGATAAAGTTAATTTGTAACTTTCTAAATCAATATGTAGCCCCAGGGATCTGTTTCTGTTAGAGTTTGATACCAGTGAACTAGGAAACTGTTTTAACCTAATATGTCAGGGACAGAGTTTGAACCCAAGTCTCCTTGATGCTGCTCTCTAACAATAATAAGTAACACATTTATTTAGCACTTTTAACGCTTACCAAGTGTATCTACCACTGGGACCCTGTTTTTCATGATAATGTTTTAAGTGCTTTATCTTAATTTGTTGACTAATTTCCATTTGGCTTCCATTCACTGTTTCCCAACCATCTCTGCCAAGTAGTTAATAGTCTCTAAACAAACACTTAAATGTGCTAAGAAATTTGATAAAGGGCTTGTTTTGTCATATAAATAATCTCATCCTACTTTATATTTTGAATATTATGTGCTCTGGAACATAGGACCTTGGAGCCATTTAGTCTAAATAGCCCTTTTTAACAGATGAGGAAAGTAGGGAAAGCTTCTGTGACTTGTCCAGGGTCTAACATCTAATAAGTGTCTTGAGTTGAGATTTAAACTCATTTTCTGTAGAGCTTCTTAATAAATCAGGGGACAACCTGTTTTCTTGTGTACATCTCCATTTAACCCTAAAAATCAGTCAGCTTAAGGATTTGAGCTTCCTTTGTTATCTGGAGTGGCTTACCATTTACTTCTTCAGTGGATTTAGATAAACAGATGGTAAGTGACCCGCCTAGGATCTGAGGCCATATTTGAACTCCAGTCTTGCTAACCTGAGTCAGTAAGCCCCAGCCTTATATCCACTAAGCCACTTTAGCTTTTTGCTATTTCTACTGTGTCACCCAGTTTCAGAAACCACTCAAGTCTTTGGCTGAGTTTGTTTCAGCTGGAGACTGAGTTTAGAACTGTGCCAGGGACTCAGATCAGATGCCCCAGAGGCAATCATTTTATCTATTCTTTTTGTCAATTGTTTGTTTTTTGGGGGGAGAGGGGGTGTTTTAGGGGAATGTGGTTAGGTGACACAGGGTCACACAGGAAATAAGTGTTATATGTCTGAGATTGTATTTCAACTCAGGTCCTACTAAATCCAGGACTGATGCTCTATCCTTCCCTATTTTATCTAATTCTTCATGCTTGGTGATATGACACTACTTTCAACACACAGTAGCTCCATTTAATGAAAAACTTCCAAGATAGAAAATTAACATTGTTTATATTTAGAGTATTTTGAGAAATTGGGCATATTGTGATTAGGCTTTTATGAAGACACTAGTATTTTTGTAGAAAATGAACTGGAAAACTTTAGATCTCATGCAGTACTTAACCACGATCATATGTTCACTTTCCTTCATTTCATCAATGAAGAAACTGAGGCCCAGAGATGGAAAATGATATTCCACCTTAATGAATCATTTTCACCTTATTTCCCCATTGCCCCCCTAAAATGGCACATTAATTCATAACCAGAAAATGTCAGCAGTAAAATTATTTTTTGGAATTCATAAGCCTTGCTTTTTAAAGGAGGCATCTTCAGATGTAGCTTCTGGTTATCAGTGGGAGAGATAACAGATAGAAAGAGACTCTTTGAAATGAGGTTCTATATTCACAATTTGGAAGTCTTATTTTCACAGAAATCTGCTATGAGACAAGCTGCTACATCTTAATTTTTCTTAAATCTTTTAAAATTTTAAGTGATTTTTCTTAATTACAGGTATTATAAGACCTTTTAGCATTTATATTTTTGAGATTTTGAGTTCTAAAATCTGAAAATTGTAGACCATTTGATATAGTAGATTATACATGTGCTGTCATGTAAAGCATATTTCCATGTTGGTCATTGTTGTGAAATAACACCGATCAAAAGGGAAAAAACGTGAAAAGTAATAAAGTAAACTAGAAAAGTATGCTTCAGTCTGCCTTTAGAAACCATCAGTTCTTTATGTGAATGTAGATAGCATTTTCCTTTTTCTATGCTTTTCCTTTGTATACTTGTTGCTGAGAAAAGCACATAATGATGATAACTGTGTGCAGTGTTTTGCTGTTTCTGTTCATTTCACTTTGCATCAGTTTATACTAGCCTTTCCAGTCTTTTTTTTCTTGAAATGTGCCTGTGTACAATAACTTATTGTACAATAGTATTCTGTTACATTCATATACGTTCATATACATAGTTTGTTCAGCGTTTCCCCCCATTCATGGACATCCCTTCAATTTCCATTATTTTGCCACCATAAAAATGGTTGCTAATGACATACAAGAATTCTAAGAGCCTTATAATCGAAAATGCTATCTGCATGAGGAGAAAGAAATATGGAATCTAAACACAGAACAAGTGTACTATGATTTTTTTTATTCCTTTTTGTTTTTTTCCCCATGGTTCTAATTATTCTTTACAATGTTAGTAATGTAGAAATTATATTCACTATTATTGTATGCACACTGTCTTGGGGAAGAAGGATAGGAAGGAAGGGAGAAAATGTAAAACTCAAAATCTTATAAAGGTTAATGTTGGAAAGTAAAATTAAATATTTAAAAAGAATGGAAAAAAAGGGAATGGGTTACCATAAATTTTCCTATATGATTTTTTTTTGGGGGGGAGGGGTGTGCACAGTTTGGTTGCCCTTTGGATATAGCTCTAAACTAATCAGTTCATTACTCTACCAGTAGTGCATTAGTGTCCCAATTTTCCTACATCCTCTCCAAAGCTTTTCATTTTCCTTTTTTGTCATGTTAATAGATTTGACAGATTTGAGGTGGTATCGCAGTTATTTTAATTTGTATTTCTCTAATCAAAAGTGATATCTAGCCTTTTTTGTTTTTTCAACTGAAAACTGCCAAATCATATCCTTTGACCATTATCAGTTGGGATGGCTTCTATGTTTATAAATTTGACTCGGTCCCCTTCTTCCACCCAAGGGAGGCGGGCCCGGGCGCCCCCCCCCTTTGAAAAGGCAAGCAACTACTTGTGAAGTTATGCAACTAACACTATTTCCCTTAATCCTGTTCTGCCTTGCATAAGCGAGGCGTGGCCCAGCCCCCAACCTCAACAGACTTTTACCACTGGCCTTCTAAGTTGTCTTTGGTTCTTATGGATTGAGGAGTCTGGAAACTGATTCAATCCTCTGAGGCCTGCTCCAG